CAGCAGTAACAGCAGTAACAGCAGTAACAGTAACAGCAGCAGCTGCTCACGTGACTCATACTTTTATTTGACTAATTATTTTTCTCAGAGTTGTGTGAACACGTTGTCCTCAGTTTGTTCAGGCAGCGTCAGCCTCTCCCTGCAAACACAGGAGCTGAACCAGACCTCAGGGAGATGTTGAAATCCTTTGTTCAGATCCACTTCAGTGACATAAACTGACCACAGGGGGCAGCAGTGGACCAGCCGCTGCTGTGCCTCTGTGGAGTGAGAGGTGAGGATGAGCAGCAGCAGCAGCAGCAGCAGCAGCAGCAGCAGCAGCAGCAGCAGCAGCAAGACTGGGCAGGAATGTGTGATCTGGGTGGACACACAGGAAGAGCTGGAGAGACTGACTCACTGCTGTCTCCGTCTCCGTCCTCTTCTGTGTTTACGTCTCCTTGTGCTTTTGTTTGCTGTTGTCTCACCCTCCGTCTCCGCCCTCTCTCCTGGATTCCTCTCTCGGCCCCCCCCTCCTCTTTCCACCCCCTCACGTGCATCTCAGTCCATTTGTGTTCTGTCTGTCTCTCTGTCTGTCCGTCCACCGTGTGAGGACATGCCTGGTATTCACGAGGTGAAGACATCTCTGTCTTCACTGTTTGATCTTGTCAGCAGCTCTTCACTCCCTTAAACCCTTCTCCAGATTTAAGACCCTCAGTCTGTTGCACTCTGACCTCTGGTCACCCGGCCACAGTGAGGCGCTGCTACGTCAGCTTCGTCCTCAGACTGGATCCAGCTTTTCAGTCTGACTTTAGATTTTGGTCTGAAATCAGCTGAGGTGTGTGAATGAACCAGTCCGCCTCCAGCCTGACACCCAGAAGGTTCTGGTCGACTCTGGAGCTTCAGCCAACTTGAAGTCACTTGAACAACGAGAGCCAAGGTCAGAGTTTTCAGCTCTGTTCTGTTTGTGTCCTTTGACCTGGAAGGTTTCCCATCGTGAAGGCCACCAATGAAGGAAAACTGTGGTCGCTCTCTGAAGCTGAGGCTGCTGCATGTTTCTGACAGTCAACGGAACCCAAAGTTTCCAAGTTTACACAAAGTGACAGAGACTTTCCAGCCAGTCCCAGACACAGTCTGCTCCATCAGGGAGTTCAAATGATTGAAATCCTTTGTTCAGAGGCAGCAGCTGGTGGCTTCATGTGAACTCAAATCACTGACATCTTAGCCTTCAGCTCACACCCTCACCCGTCAGCCTTCATACTGTATCAGACCAAACAAACCCTGACCCGGTTCTGATCTCTTGGTTTTCAGAAGCGGGTCCTCCTAAGAACCTGGTGACCAGTGATGTCACTGACACCAGCTTCGTGGCATCGTGGACGCCGGCGCCAGGGAATGTGAGGGCGTACAGAGTTCGGTGGAAGTCACTGTTTTCCCAGGAACAGGGGGATAAAGCGGTGCCTGGTGACGTGTCCAGCACAGAGCTGAGCCACCTGAGTCCAGAGACTCTGTACCAGGTCTCTGTGGAGGCGGACTACGGCTTCACCAGGAGCGATGCTGTGACGGCTCAGGAGACCACAGACGGTGAGTCCATCTTGTCTGATTCTTGGTCTCTTCATCACAGAGCGTTTGTTCCTGTGAACATCACTTTCTAACCTTTCTCTGTATTTTCCTCTGTGTGGACAGTGATCCCGAAGTTCCTTAGATGAAATATTTACCTGTGAAAAATAGAGCCAGTAGGTGGCAGCAAATGGCATATACAAACAACAGTACGCATTAAATGCTAGTGCTTTGTAGTGTGATGTAATTCCATGAACTTGCTACATGCTAGCCTCTGCTAACAAGTTCTGTACCAGTATACAGCTAACACAGCTTATTCGGATGTGCTAACATTTAGAGCAGGGGTGTCCTGTGACCGGGGTAAAGAGATCTGCCTACATCTTCACTTTAGCCCTAGTCATTAGCATCTTAAAATAGAATGAAATCTATAATGTTGTTGTTTTTTTAAAGTAATTGCTCAGGATTTAGCAGCACTCTCTTTGAGATCCACTGGTAGATCCCGGTCCATTTATCGGCCACTGATCTAGGGCAGCCATGGTCATTATCTCGCGGTAATGACGGTCGTTGTGTGAAGCTCTTCACCGACGCTGCGTGTTGTAACGGAAGCTGAAACATTGTGTGACTTGACTTCGTTAAGAACGTATGAAGGCTTTTATTTTGGAATAAAGATAAAGGATGTGGCTCCGCTGTTCCGCTAATGACGTGTGACTTCACCAATTACGGATTTTTTTTTTAGCAACGTCACGCTCTGAGGTGACACCGAGTTAAAGTAATAACAGTCTTTAAGACTGTGACAACAATGTACTGCCAACTATTGTTCCGTTCCGCTGAGAAACTGTTCTTCAACAGTTTTACTTTAACTGTTTCACTGTAGCCTCGTTAGCTTTAGCTCTCCCGCCGGATGAACGTCAACATGTCAACGCTGTTTCAGTAACGTTAGCATCCGCTGTGTGTTTGAATGAACAGTCAAGACAGAGAATCGTCGTATCGTTGTTGACTGTGATGAAGGTACAGTTTCATTACGACAACTGGACTGGTAGGTTTCACACGAAGACGAAAGTTGTCAGAGTACAGGTGACCAGCAGAGGGAGTGTGAGAGTCAGAGTCAGGCTAAATGATGATGATGATGATGATTATTATTATTATTTGTTAATAAGTTCTGACCCAGTTGACAGGATTACGTTAGTCTGATATCATAATAATGAACCAGTGTATGTAAGGAACAGGACACAGCACCACCTACAGGCCAGAGAAAGGAGCTACAGGCTTCACTCTATACCTTCATGTTTCACTGAATGAACTGAGGACGGACTTCAGTTTTAGTCCAACTTTTAGTCAGTTAGTTTTAGTGAGTTAGGCAACTGGCCACAGTGACAGGATCCAGAGGAACGTCGACTTCCTGGATGGAAAAATGTCTGATTGTCCAACTTTTCTATCACATCTAAACAAATGGCTGGAGCAGGAAGTCAGCAGCTGATGGATGAGTTTTTTTCACTGGGGACCAGCTGATTTCCCAGCTGACGGTGGAATCAGGGGGAACACGTCTCCCTGTGATGTCACGTGACGTCACATGACTGACAGGCTGGACACGGGCGGAGGAAACAGGGAATAAAAAATGGGAATGTTGAGACGAGGGAACGTTGGGATCTGATGTCAGCCCTCCCACACCTTTAAACTCTATAAAAGCAGACAGTTCCAACTGTTGGCTACAAATCATCTGATTGGACGAAACAAATCCAAAGAACAAAACGCTGAATTCATTTGATTCAACCTAAAATATGTGACTTTGTTTTGGCTTCAAACTCCCGACCTTGTTCTGACTGCTGCAGACGCAGATTATAATCTGAGTTTGGTCTGTTTGTCCAGATTACTGCTGACCCGTCTTCATTTTGTCTTCCAGCCTCGGACCACGCAAAAGAACTGACTGTGTCGGAAGAGACTGAGCAAAGCATGAGGGTGACGTGGACGCCCCCACCAGGGAAGGTGATGCACTACCGGCTGAAGTACGTGCCGGTCACCGGCGGCCGGGAAATTGCCGTGAAAATCCCCGGCTCCCTGACGTCCACGCTGCTGAGACGCCTGAGGCCGCTAACCACGTACGGCATCAGCGTTCATCCGGTCTACAAACGCGGGGAAGGAAAAGCAAGGCAAGGAGAGGGAAGCACACGTACGTTGGTCCATAATTCAACCCTCCGAGAAAAACACAAGCAGCAGCAGCAGCAGCAGCAGCAGCTCTGTTGACCAGAACACCTCAAACCCAAACTCAGTCTAAAAACATCATCCACTCCTCTGGAATCATGGGAACCATCTGCTGTTTCCACCAGAAACACTCTTTTAGTCGTAGCTCACATTCAGAGCTGTGAGTTGTTACGATACTGGGACACGACACCACACATCACGTTATACTGCGATACTATTATCACGACGACGACGTGTCCACGTGTGACCCTAGTCTCAGACTCTGCCCCCCCCCACCCGCCCCCCGTGCCACCCTCTTTCCCCCCCCCCCCGCGGCCGCCCGCTGC